TCACCACAAGTACCACCATCGCCATCGTGATCCTCATCCTCCTCATCATCATCCGCACCATCGTCATCATCATCATCAGCCGCATCATCCTCATCATCATCATCTCCACCACCACCATCATCATCATCATCATCATCATCATCACAGTGGCCACCACCGTCAGCATCGTCTTCATCATCGTCACCATCATCGTCATCATAGCTGACCGTCATCGGCATCGGCAATTGCACCTGCATGGACATCATCATCACCACCATCATCAGCATCATCATTATCAGCATGATCATCACCATCATCATCAGCAGCATCTTCAACATTACCATCAACATCATCATCAGCAGCATCATCATTATCACCATCATCATCACAGTCATCAGTATCATCATCATCATCACCACCACCACCACCACCACCACCACCTCCATCATCGTCCTCATCGCCCCCCTGTGCCTCGTCCTCATCCTCCTCCCTCTCCAGTCCCTCCCTATCCGTCCCTCAAGTGCAATCTGTTTTCTGTTGTGTTGTGTAGTGCCGTGCGGTGTGTGAGGCATAGCTGGCAGAGCATGTTGTGTCGTGCCGTGCGGTGTGTGAGGCATAGCAGGCATGTCCAGGACGCGGAGCGGCAGTAGTTTCGAAGATGGCATTTGATGAGTCGATCGTGCCTCACGCTGGGCCAGACGAGAGGAGAGCCCTGGCAAGCCCTCGCCCCTCCTCCTCCTCCTCCTCCTCCTCCTCCTCCTCCTCCTCCTCCTCCTCCTGCCCCCTCCCCCTCCTCCGCCTCCTACGACAGGGGTTCGAGCCGGGTGAGGTGAGTTGGAAAGGGCGTAAGGCCGTTCCACTCTCTCTCTCCGCTCATCGCTTTTAGACGGGAGGAGGCCGCGCAGAGCGAGGCAAGGCGGGAGGTCGCCCCGTCCCGTCCCCAGCCTGCGGCGTCTCTTTCTGCCTGGTAGCAGGAAAGGCTCCTCCTGCTGGGCACCCATCCCTCGCGGAGCCGGGGCCCCGGGGGGACGGAGGCGTCCGGTCTTCTGCGGAGGGCGGGGGCAGAGGGGAGCCGCTTTCTGCGACCGGGGTTTCTCCAACAGAGGAAGGGGTTTCCGTAGACAATGGCGCAAGGACGAGCGGGCCGGAGCGAGACATGGCTGCAGTCCTGGCGGCACTCCTGGCAGGATTTCCGCATGCGGGGGGCCTTGGCCCCACGGGCGATGAGGAGGCAGATGTCCTTAATTCTCGGAAGCCGTTGGGCGGTCTTGCGGCAGGAGGGGCGGGCGCTGGCGTCGCAGGCGGAGTTGCTGCGGGGAGTCCTCCCCGACACCAGAGAGGTGCAGAGCATCCGCTACGCACTAAGCCGGGCATGCAGGGGCCGCGTGCTCCCGGCGCCCTCGCCCGCCGGTGCGGCTCTCCCAGCGCGCTCCCCCCCAGGAGTATTCGAAGCCTCGCTGGGGGGGGGGGGTCGCCCGGCACCCTGGGCTGCACGAGCGTGGACGGGAGAACGGCCAGGTGGCACCTCTTCACGGGCCATGCAGTGGGGATAGCGGCGGCGTTCGAGCAGCTGCGCCTTGCGCTCGTGGGCCTCCGCGGGGCGCGGCTGGCTCGTGGAGTGGCTGCCCCGCAGATGTCCTGGATGGGGATTCTCGCAAGAGGGGGGGCCCTCCTACGCCTCAGTCGCCGTGGTGTGGGATCAGCGGCAGCTTCCGGAGCTCCGGGAAGTCGCGGCAGTGGGGTCCGATCGGCGCATGTGGGTCTCGCACCGAGACGCAGGCGGGGCGGAGTGGTACATTTGAACTCTCTATCTGCCCCCAGTGCCCAAGGCCGGAAGCGATGAGGAATGGCATCGGGAGGTGGAGGGCCTCAGCAGGGACATCCAGGAGCTGAGCGGCTCCAGCCAAGCCATTCCCCTTTCCATTCCCATTGTGTTGATGGAGGACATCAACATGCAGCCGTCAGCCCTGGGGGGCGAGAGAGAGAGCCCGCCAGGGCCAGAGACCATCGCTGGGCGGCCCTCATGGAAGCGTGGGGTATGCAGCACCTGAACCCCCACGTGGGCCAGGGGCCGCGGACGGATATCCCTCTCCCCCGTAAGGGCAAGGTCGTCAATCTGCGCCCAGGGGACACACATCACGGGGGCACCCCAAGGTGCATTGATGTAGTGGTGGCGTCGCGACCTGCAGCGGGTCTGGCTGTAGTCCACAATGGGCTCCACTGCTCAGCTGAGGGGCCATGCAGGTGGCCGCAGTGTGTCGACTACACGCTAGGGGACCATTTCCTCATAGAAACGCAGGTTCCGCTAGCTGTCTCCGTTGGCCGCCGGGTTGGGGGGGGCGCTGCGGATGCCCCGCTGGTGGCTCGATGGGCGTGCCTGGGACGCGGGCCTCTTGGAAGCAGGGGATGCGCTACGGTCCCTGGAGGGAGTCCTCTGGTCTCTGTGCGCTGGGCAGGGAAGGGGGCAGTATGGCTTCCAGCTGAAGCGGGTGGCGGCGCAGTGGCTTGGCGATGCCCTCGCGTGGATCCTCCACATCATCCTGGCGTTGGCAATGGCGGGGTGGGTAGTCCCGGCGGACGCGAGCTCCCGCGGCTGGAGGAGGGGCCGGGCGAGCCACTGCGCGCAGCACTCTCTTGGGCACCGGATTCGAAAGGCCCTGGAGGAGGGGGGCGTCCCGTCAGTTCGGACGGCCCGCTGCCTCCGCGTCCTCGAGCCAGCAGCTGTGCGACCGGCTCCGTGCCTGCGCGCGGAAGAGGGGCCGCTGTCCCCAGCGGACTCGCTCTCAGCCTGGTGTGAGCAAATCCTGGGCCAGTCGCGCTGGCCGGGGAAGTGGGACACGGATTGGCACGAGGCCGTTCAGTCCCAGGTGCGGACGCAGGCGGGCACGGCCTGGGCAAGGCGAGGGCAGGGCGAGCTGGACAAGCCCATCGTCCAGAGCGAGGTTATGGGGGTCTTGGCGGGGTGGTCAGACACGGACGCGACGACGCCTGACCTGGTTCCACGCATTATTCTCCAGCGGTCGTGTGCCCCGCTGGACACGGTGGTCTGGCTGCTTATGCTCGTGACGGGCCCCAGCTTCCTGGCCCTGCGGCCGCAAGGGTGGAGGTGTCTCTGTGCTGTGCCGCTCCACAAGGCGGGCCCCCCCGACCTGGGCGAGAGCTTCCGCCTCATCATGGTGAAGACGCAGTTCGGGCTTTTACAAGAGTCCCTGCTGTGTCAGAGGGGTACGTCAGGGACGTGGGCGACGCCCATCTGCTGCTGCACGAGGTGGGGGCGCAGGCGCTGGAGCAGGGCAGGGCGCTCTGGGCAGGCCTTCCCGCGTGTGTGGAGGGAGGGCCTCCTGCATCGCCTGTCTAAGCACGCGGGGCTCCGGGACGGATGCTTTGCGCTACTTTGCAGTGTCCTCCAGGAGAACCGTGCCCACGTGAATATCAATGGCGTTGCGGTGGTCGTCGTCTGGCAGGGCATCTCCGAGGGCGGCGCAGGGGGGCCGCAGTTCCTTCCGTGCTACATGGATGGCCTCCCGCGGGCTTCGCATGCCGCGGGGCTGGGGGTGGGGCTCGGGGTCAGGATGCCGGCGCAGTAGGCGGGCCGCGCCTGGCGCGGCGACGGCCTGCCCAGGGGCGACATGGTGGGCACTATCCGGAGCGCCCTCCAGGAGGGGTCCCAGCTGCCGCCAGGCGCGGCGCTGGCGGCAGACCCGGACCTGGAGGCATCCGCCCTCCTCGCCTTGGACCGGTCCGCCCCGCGGCGGCTTGTCGCAATCCCCCATGCCGATGATCCGGAGAAGGCCAGCCCCCACACCAAGGCCACGAAGCACGCGGTCCTGGTCTCAGGTGGCCCAGCAGCTCGGGAGGCAGCCCAGTCGGCGCGGTCGCTCGAGCTGCGGCTGCGCGGGGAGGCGCCAGTCCAGTTGGGCCTCGTACAGGTGCACAAGTGGCTCGGCCTCCCATGGCGCGGGGACCTGGACCTGGGCGCCATGTGCCGCATGCGCCTGGCGGCGGCGGCGGCGCAGGTGGCGTCCCTGCCTGGCGGGCCAGGTGGCCAGCGGCGATGTCCCCCTGCCGGTCGCGGCGAGCATCTTCGACATGAAGATAGAGGGCGGCCTCCGATTTGGGCGCTGGCTGTGGTGCGTTGGGGAGGGCAGCGCCGAAGCGGTGGATGAGGCTTACCAGAGCTGGGCCAGGGCGCTCCTGGGTGCCCCCCCATGGCGCACCTCCATGGTGGCGGAGGCGGAGCTGGGATGGACAGTGTCTGGCGCGGGCAGAGGAGTCATTGACGTAGCGCGCCGCAGGGCGGGTCCTTGGGCCCTCCAGGAGGGAGACCTCTACCGGGCGGTCTTCCAGGCTGCCCATGGTTGGACAGGCTTGTCCTGGGCAAGCAGGTCCCTGGCGCTCCTGGCCTCCTGGGGGGTGGACGACTGGCCAGGCTGGGCGCGGGCCCACCCGGGGGAGCAGCGCGAGGCTTACATTGCGGACGTCTCCTCCCAGGTCTCGCGCAGGTGCCTGGCGGAGTGGCAGGCCAGGGCGCGCCAGCATGAACGGCCAGTCCCTTTGCTTTCGCTTTGCGAGGGGCCTGTGGGGGACCTCGCGATAGCTCTCCGGGCAGAGCTTGGCTGGGAGGTACTGCAGGGGATGCGGTCCATCAGCCGCTGGCGGGCGGGCTTGGCGGGAGGTACTGCAGGGGATGCGGTCCTGGGGCACGTTGGTGGGCGCCGCTCCTGGGCAGCCGTGCAGTCGTGCGTGCTGTGCGGAGCGCGGCGCCGCAGTCTCTCGTTTCACGCGTGCAGCGACTGCCCGTGGACACAGGCGGGACGGGACGCCTTCTGCTGGGGAGCAGGCCGGGGGCAGCAGGCTATGCAGAGGCGGTGGCGCTCGCGGCGGCCATCGACAGGCAGCAACATAGGTTCTGGGCCGGGCGTTGACCTGCTCCCGCCCCGGCCAGAGCCCAGAAATCCCCCTCCGCTCCTCCCCCCCCCTGCCTCTCCCCGCAGGCTGGGCCGCGCCCCTCAGCCGAGTAGGGGTGGGGGCGGGGGTGCCGCACCCCGGGGAGGGTCTCCTCCGGCCTTCTCTCAACGCTTCGTAGCTGCGCACTGCGGTGGCATCAGGGTTGGTACGGACGGGCGGGACCCCAGTGAAGGTGAGCCGAGAGCTCTCACACTGCCCATCCCCACTCCGCGTTTCTGGTGTCCTCCCGGCACTTGAGGCAGCCGGGTCCCCCCTGGGAACGGCACATCTTCCCCCCGGTCCCTGGAGGGGCGTCCAGCTGCAGCCTTCTTCTCTTCTGGGAAAGCCCGCTCCGCGGGTAAGGGAGGAGGGTGCAGCTGGCCCTCCTGTGGTCTGCGTGGTGGAGGCGGAGAGGTCCCAGGGGGGGGTCGCCCCCGGAGGTCTCTTGGACCGAGTTGCGCCGTGACGCTGCGGTTGCTGGATCCCCGAGACAGGCGGTGGGCTGTAACCCAGCCATCCCTGAACGGGAGGCGCTGCTAAAGGGGCTGTGCCCGCGGCCCCACCCGATGCCTCCCCAGGCCACCACCACCACCACCCCTGTCCCAATCCTGGTCCCTCCTCCTCCCCCCTACTCCTCCCCCTCCCTCTCCTCGTCCCCACCCCCCTCCCCCCACCGACCAACAACGGCGCCCACTGCCGCCCTCTCAGACGCTGCCAGGCGCCCCACTCTGCGCGGGCACTCGCCGGCGCGGGCGGCGGCGCCGCCTGCAGGACCCCGATAACGAAGGTGGCGGTCTTCCCAGTTCCTGGCGAGGGAAGGGGCAGAAGGCTGCAGCAGGTGAGACGAGGGAGGCGGAGGAGGAGGAGGAGGAGGAGGAGGAGGAGGAGGAGGAGGAGGAGGAGGAGGAGGGTGAGGAGGAGGAGGAGGAGGAGGAGGAGGAGAAGGACGGGGATGAGGAGGAGGAGGGGGAGGAGGCGGGGGAGGAGAAGGAGGAGGAGGAGTCGAGTGAAAGACTCTAGAATCCCACCATCCCTGTAGAGCGTAAGTGGTTTAAAGCGTTTCCTCTTCCAAACCCCCTTCTTACCCTTCGGGGAGGAGTTCATCAATTTTCCTATGAATAAGCACCTCCGCCCCCAGGCGACTGGCAGCCAACCAGGACCAATGAGAGCACCCCCCCACCACACCTGTCAAAAAAGCGAAATCAAATCCACGTTGGGGCAACATCTTGGGTCATGATCGGGGAGGGCGCGAACACTTTGCATTGTTTTTCACAGAGGCGGCGGGCGGGGGTACCCACATATTGCCTGCTGCGCGCAGGGGCAGCATCCCTGCCAAAAACAATACAACATGCACTTCGATAAGGAATATGGATCATGAGCGGGCACCCCGCTATCACTGCGCATTGGTTCTCGACTGGGACGGCGGGGGTGCTGGCATGTTGCCTGCTATGTGCAAGCCCACAAGAGGTTATGATGGTCACCCCGCCGCGACTGCGCACTGGCTTTCGACACGGGTGGTGGTGGCCGACACGTTTCCCATCGTTTCCCGATGTGTACTTCCGCGTGCGCAGGCGCACCTGGCACACTCTGCGCGTGTCCCGAACGTGGCGCACCTGGCGCGGCTGGAGCATGCGGCACACATGGCGCACGTGGACCACGTGGCGCATCTGGCGCAGCAGGCGTGCCCGGTCCGATTGGGCCATAGGGGGTCTGATTCCTTTTCGGGCACGAACTCACGCGGTGCAAAATTTGCGGCACAGTCTCTATATGGTGCAAGCCATGTGGCGCTACCGGCTGGTTGCAACCGATGCTGTGCAAACCATGATGGGATATACATGGAATATAGAACGTACACTGGAGGTCCGTCCACAAGAAACCTTCCACAAGAAACCCGACCCTGAGATCCCCCAGGACGTCCATTGCTTTTCAGCGCGGGAACGCCACGCGCTTCATCACAGAGCCATCGAAGCCCAAAAAAAAACCCAGGGCACCCTTCGGGCAAGCAGGGTGCTTCTTGGCATGGGTCTCCACTGTATGCTGCGCTGTGTGTGGCGCAGTCGATGCTCGCATCCGGAAGCGCCCAGCCAAGCGCGCGAGACGGGCACACGGCGGGCACGGACGGGCCCGGGGCGAACATCCGGGGAGTCCAACCAGCGCGCGGGGCGGGCGCGCGCCGGGCACGAGCGGACACCGGGCGAAGCCCTGGGGAGCACAGCCGTCTCGCGGAGCTGGCACGGGCGGGCGCCAGCGAAAGCCCGGAGAACCCACGCAATTATGCTTGCGCGGCCAATGAGGACCCCGTGGTGCAAGCACTGTTTGGGGCACGGGGAGGGGGGGATCGGGGGCGGGAGGAGGAAGAGCAGCAGGCGGAGAAGGGGGAGGGGGACGGGGAGGAAGAGGAGGAGGGCGAGGAGGAGGAAGGGCAGAAGCAGGGTGAGGATAACACAGGCGAGAGAGTAGGGAGAAAGCGAGCGGGGGGGAGGAGATAATGGGAAGGATGGGAGGAGAAGGAGGAGGAGGAGAAGGAGAAGGAGGATAAGGAGATGGAGGAGGAGGCAGAGAAGGAGGAGGAGGAGGAGTAACAAACACATACTATGATACCACATAGCTTTTACGCGAAAAGGTGAATAAAAAGGAGGAGGCACTCACTGCAGTGAGGCCGGGGTCCTCCTACTTTTCCTCCCGCTCCGTCCTTTCTTGCTTCTTCCCCACCTCCTCCTTCCCTCCTCCTCCTCGACAAATACGCGGATATATTAGCATGCATAACACTGCTGATGTTGCCGTCATGCCTGCTCTCTCCCGCTTCCCGTGCAGACCGAGACGACATTGTTACATCCAGCTACAAACGTTCAGGCCCGCACTCGCGATTTGAGCACCTGATACAAAATTACATACATAGCATACAGAAGTCATGCAACACGTGACTCTGGGCGGGAGCCGGGGCAAGGGGGCAGGGCAGGGGAAAGGAGAGAAAGCAGACACAAAAGGAATAAGCGAAAACGGCAGAACATTGAGTGAACGCTCCCCCTGTGCCCCGGGCGCTGCCTTTACGGATCTCTTGTAACATGCGGACGCGTGTCGGACCCTAGCGCGCAACCATTTCACTGCAAGACCTCCCTCTGGAGACGTGTCACACAAATGTACCCGCACCACCCACAAGCAATAGGTGCAATCACGTTATGCACACATGCTTCAAATCAGATGTCCACGTGTCAGCGAGGCACTGGTTCCGCTAAGCATTCCTCGTTTGAGTCTCCTCTACCTCCTTCTCCTCCTCCGCTGCCTCCTCAACCTCCTTCTCCAACTCCACCTCCTCCTCCGCCTCCTCCTCCTCCTCCTCCTTCTCCTCCTCCTCCCCCTCCTCCTCCTCCCTCTCGTCGTCGTCGTCGCCGTCGCCGTCGTCGCCGTCGCCGTCGCCGTCGCCGTCGCCGTCGCCGTCGCCGTCGCCGTCGTCGTCGTCGTCGTCACATCACCAACCACCTCCTCATTTCCTCTACCTTCACTCCCATGGAGCGAGGTCGTCGTCGTCAAGGAGGGCAACTCGGCTGCCGTCCTGACTGGGCCTGGCCGATCGTATCGCGGCCGTCCAGGATGGGCTTGATGCCTGCGGGCCCCCGTGCAGTCGCCAGGGAAGCACTGAGAGGAAGGGAATGGGGGTGGAGGGAAGTAGGAGACGGAGAAAAAGGCGGCAGCAGGGAGGAGGGAAGAGAGGGATGAGGGAACGGAGGGGAGGGAGGACGGAGGACACGAGGAACGGAGGAACGGAGGAAGGGAACGGAGGACTGGAGGAACGAGGGAGCGAACGAACGAACGAACGCCGGAGTCGTGCGTGCTCCTCTGGGGAGCTCGCCCGTGCCCGTTAAGGCATGGCGCGGAGGCCGTGGCCTCGACAGGAAGATCTTCTCTTCAAGCTTGCGAAACCTATGCCCGCTCTTACGATGACCAGGAAACTTCTGCACGGAGGGAACCAGGAGGGGAGGGAACGGAGGAGCGGAGGAAGCCCGCTCGGGTGCGCGAGCCGCGGCCGGTGAGCGCAAGGCCAAGCCCTCCCCGCGCCTGCCGGGAGGCGGCGGGGAGGCCACGTGCCGTGGACGCGACGGGCCGCGCCCAGCGGGCACACTGTCACCACGGGCACCACCCTGAGGGGGCAACGATAGGGGGGGATGGGCAGAAGGGTCGGGAGCGGCCAAGAGGGGGGTGTCCAAGAGGGTGGGGTGCAAATCATGACCGGCGGCATGTGCGCGGCCCAGCGGGGGGGCCAGGGACGTAATGAAACAAGAAGAGGCGCCATGAAATCTGGGGAGATATCATTGCCCACGTCATGATATCCACCCCCCCCTAGTCATCACCCCCCTCTTCTCCGCCCCCCAAAGGGGGGAATGCATCGGCCTGGAATCGGCGATGCATCGTCGACAGATCGGCGATGGGCCCCCGATGGTGCATCCGCACCTTCCTGGGCAGAGCGGGGCTATCGGGCCGATGCGTCCCCCCCTGTGCCGATCCCCCCCTTATCGTTGCCCCCGAGGAGGAGGAACGCGGGCTTTGTTTTTGTAGAAGCTTCGCTTTCCTCTGACTGTGCTCTGCGGCGTCCGCGCCGCCTGCCCGCGCGCCCCGACAAAAGCTGCAGCGCCGACCAGGCCACTGCCACTCTCCCTGCGCCGACGGCCCGGAGGCGAACACTCCACAGCGCGGACGCCGCGGGCGCGGAGGAGTCGGCAGGCGAACGGGCGGCCCGGTGCCCCTGGCCCGCCCACGCGCAGTGGTCACGCGGGATTGCCAACACCACGTGCGCAACGCCAGGGGAGGCCCTTGGCGCGCCGAACCCTGCGCTGCACGCAGCTGCAGAAGGCTCGGGGCCCCGCGCTGGGATCACTTCCGCGACGCCCAGCCGTGGACTCGAGGGCCGCCTGAGGCAGCCCCCGGGCAGGTGCGGTCGGAGCCCTGCACCGCATCACCGATGCACAGGAGGTGCACCGGCGACGCCGCGATGGAGAACATCTGGCGTCAGAGGGCGCCCCGTCGCCGATGCACCGGCGATGCGGCGCGATCCTCAGGGCCCTGCAAGCCAGAACTT